GGTAAAAATCAGGAAATTCGGAATTAGTGTTGCGCCAGCGGGGTAGAACGCAAATACTCCCTAACTCGTCGTGCCCCTGCCGCGCCTCGGCTGGCGCTTGTCTGTGCAGCGATGGATCATTTCGGGGCGAGTTTCGGAGCTGCCGTAAGCCCAGGGGCCTAGTCCCGGGCGGTGTAAGCCGGCATGCCGCCTCGCTGGAGCTCCAGCCTGCCCGGCTCCTGCCAGCTGCTGTAGTTTGTGTAGCCCAAACGCATGGCCCCACACTGAAGCTACACAAAACACAGAGGTAACAAATGGAGAAAAGGGAGTTAGCTTCTAGAGTTCCTTCCTCGTGAGCTCCTTGATTAATACCAGCACCTGCCATTCAGCCAGCAACAGCAGCAGCCACTGCCCAACCTGATCAGCACTCTGCTTCTAGCGAGGACAGGCTGAGAGCTCCTCTTTCCACGAAACAAGCCCTCCGACATAAGGCCCCTCATCCGTCCCTTCAGGCCCCTGCTAACCTGGATAAAGACCACGGCGTACTGTGTCCCTGGCTTCAGGATTACTCTTGAATATCTGGGAAACTCCTCGGACGTGAGGATGCTGAGTCCTGTCAGCGGGGATGCACTGGCATCCCATTCCCCAAGCGCCTCGGGCACGTAACTGAGCAGCCTCGTGTGGCGATGCCGTGCCAGCTCCTGAGGGCTTCTTGCCCGCTGCCAGCAGGCAGGTGAATCATGCCAGGCCAGCGTGAACATCAGGCTGTCTGCAGGCAGGCTGCGGTGCGTGCCCGGCTCAGGACGCTCTGCTCCAGGCCTGCCTTTGCCTCCCGGCTGTTGTGGTGCTGCTCAGTACGTGGGGGCAGGAACAGCCTTCTTGTTCTGCCTTTACACAGTGCCTAGCAACGTGCAGGCCCTGGGTGACGAGCGGTGCTTCTAGGGACTTGCTGCAACACAGATGATAACGTTTATTAAAATAGACTTGGGAAATGAAGGCTGAGGTAACCCAGGAACGCATTTGATGATCGGGATGAAGTGTGAAAGGCTGAGCGCTTCTCTATTGCTAACTTGCTTTCCCTGGGGTCTGCTGTGTGCATGTATTTCAAGTGGTCCATACACTAGTATAATTTCCTTAATGCACGTATTCTAGAAAATAAAAATCATACAGGTTCCCAGACCAAAACTAACAGTACTTGCTTGTATTTCTGAATTTTTCTCCCCTCCCTTTTTTTTAATTCACAAAAAAAGGAGATCCCTTCTCAGACCTGAGGAAGAAAATAGGGGAAAGGATGATATGACAGCTGGAAAACGTACAGTTATCAGTATCTAAAATAATTAATAATTTCTATCTCATAAATCTTTGGGATATATTTTTTGCAATTTTCTTTGCTGGCAGCGGCTGTCTTCAAATTACCATGGTTTCAGAGATATCCATCACTTGGCAGTGTGTCACCATGACCCTCTTTCTCCTCCTTACTCCATCCCTCCATGGAGCTTACTAAATCTCTCTTAAAAAATTCTGCCAAAGCTACCAATTTTGTCCAACGTTCCACTCTCCCTCCACCGCTCTCTTGTTTGGAGAGCACAGAAAAACAAGTTCTGGCATAGAAAATGTCAGCTTATCACTTCAGCATCTCTCTTTCTGGCACTTGCATTAAGATGGAGCACTTAGGCATATAATGATTTTTCAGCTCAGATACAGACAAGGTAAATCCCAAGAACAGGAAAGATTTCTTATTTAAATAGTGTGGTTGTTGAGATCTTCAGTTTATATATGTACAGATTTTTATATGTGTACTTTTAGAGTCAATGCAGATAAGCAGCATCATAGCAGGAGAGCTTTCCAGGCAGGGATGAAACAGTGACTATCACCTGTGCCTTGGAAATAAGACGCAAAGAAAACTTCATCAGAAGAATAAAGGAGATGCAGGTATCTATTTTCAACATATGCATAGCAGATTCAAACCTGGAACTTTGGCTTAACAACAGAGCAGTTTAAATGTTGCCTGGTATTACAATTTCATTTGGTTTTCTTTCTCTTTTGGTAAAAATCTAATGTTCAAGAGGTTAGAGGTATAAATACTGAAAAAAAATCGGTGCAAAGATTTTGGATGTCCCACTGAGGCTGCACTTGTGATGAACTGATGTCACTTTTTTTTGGTTGCTCTCGATGGCAGTAGGGTGACATCACCCTCTTGCTGCCACATTGCACTAGGGCAACTTGATTTTCCAGGGCAGTAATTGCTTTTCAAGATTGCATCACTAATTCAAACTAGAATATGCTCCATCCTTAGCCGTACGTTTCGCTTCTCTTCTGTACGACTTTTGCTTCTGTGTATGTATTCCTTACCAGATGGACAGACTCACGCACTGGCATGTTTCTGGTCAGGTTCTATACAGAGCAGCACAAGTTCCAAGATAAGATACTTGAGTGATCCAAGTAAAATTCCAAACTACTGGGTAAAACAAAGAATAGAAAAATTTGAGGTTTTCATGACAACGTTGTTACAGAGACTGTTTTTAGCTGGTAAATGTCATCCACTGCTGCACCAAAATACAATCTAGGTAGCTCATGGAGGGCCTTTCAACCAGGAAAAATATTAATATGCTTTAAAAATGTCTTGAGACTTTTATGATCTTTATAATTCATGAAAGTGACTCCTCCTTGATTTGGCAACAATTCAGTTATCGCTGCTTTACAAAATACTTTACTATTCGCTGTTGTTAGGAGGGGAAAAGACGCAGAACAGTAAATACTTTTTGTCAGTGTATTTTTCATATTAAACCCCTTTTGTTTGCTTACCCCCCTCCAGTCTGCAAAATTTGTAGTGCACAAGAAGCACTGCATGTCTACACAGGCTCTATCAGGCAAACCTGAGCTTCCCCTGCATTCTGAGATGACCAGCTGTGAACTAGAAGACTTTTGACAGCTTATTAGTCGGGGGCTGCACTTGTATGACTTCTTGTTCAGCTGGCTTGCCTTTAGCAAACTTGGAACGCGAGCAAAACAAGCTCAGATATGTCTGTTCAGCCCAACGCACTCAGATCCACAGCCACTGAGAGTGGGAATATATGGCATTTGGACTATAAAAGTCCAAAGTCACAATCCTGGAAATGCCCCCAGCTGTCACCTAGTTTGACAAGGAGGCTCTATTCTGTGTAGCATCGTTATTTTACTTCAACCACATTTACTTGACTCTGAGCAAGATCCAAAGCATGTTCCTTTACCCAAGCCACTGGAAGGCTTGATTTAACAGCTGTTTTTAGAGCATGGCTAACAGGTAGTGAGTGACACGACATACTACTGCCCCTTGTTCCTTCCTCCCTGCCTTACAAAAGCTTAGAACATACTCAGTTCTCTTCTCTGGTTGGGAAGGTTGAAACCTGTATTTCCTACCTCCCAACAAACTGCTCGGGCTGCTGGATGATCAAGGTGGATAGATTCCACCCTCCCTATTAATATTAAAAGTTATCTGAGATTCTTTAACATTATGATTGCCGCTCTACTGCTTTGGTTCATCATCACGAGAAAGGAAGGGTTCCACCATCTATTTCAGGAACTATGTTGTATTTCATAATAGTCAATTGACAGATAAAATCCAGAAGCGGATTATCAACGGTATCAGGATTAGATTTCTGGTTCTACAAGAACAAAGCTTTTGAACTGCAGTTTTAAGCATGTGACTTTTGATGTGGTTGCACAGAACACAGCGTAGTGAGGCTCAGATCACTGCAGTTCTTAACATCACCTTAAGGAAAAAAAATAAAGCTAGTACAGTATGATTTTTGTTGTTCCACAGCCCCTGACAAGCATTAATTCTATAGAAGTAGTATGTTTTATATGAAACTAGAAATTCCACTCTATTCACAGGTAAGTTCTAAACAGCAGCTACTTCGGAAAATTAAGACTTACTTAGTTCAGTTTTAGGTCCCATCTGGACTAGTGTATGGAAGCTGGGACTCATGCAAAGATGTAGTGCCCTCAGTCCTGTGTCAAGTAAGAAAAGGAGCCCTTACGCCCTTAGGCTCAATGCCAACTAAAAATAGGAAACACTTTGTTAACACCTTTTATTGACAATGTTTTGCAAGTTCACAAGTACTGTGCAGAAGCTTCATCCTTTGTAAAATAAAATATATTTGTCACAAATTACCAAGTTTGTGGATGAATGCAAAGTGCCTGTTTGCACAGATCTGTAACTGTTTTCCCCTGAAGCATTAGCAAAACAAGTATTTTGTATAAAAATTCACAGAAGCAGTAGAAAACTTATTTTTCATCTCTCCCTTTCTTACTGTTGGTTTCAACACAAAGTTTGGACATTCAACAGTATAGTCAGTCTTCATATTACATCTACTGTTTAGTCTCGGTTTCCATCTGAGTTTCTTGAGATTCTTCAGCTTCTGAAAGTTTTTCATCATCTAAAATTCAATATTACCATTAGTCAAACATGTTTGGTTATATTTACAGACTATATTGCACAGCTGTGTCCCACTTAAATATTTTTATGTTGATTGCCTTAAATGTGTAGTTTAGTATCTCATTATACAAAATGCTATGTTAAAAAAAAAAAATCCTTCAAATTTTTTGAGGCTGTTATCTGTAACAGCTATTACAGGAAACATGGGGTAAATCCTATAGTATCAATCCAAGCAAACAGTACTGGATTGCTTCAAGTTACATGCCTTCTCTTTTCCTATTAATGGTTTATTTCAAACCGAAGCTGTGCCTTCCACCAAAACATTACTTCCTTTACAAAATTTTAGATGCTAAAAGGGAATCTATACATTCATGTGAAAATGTCTTTTAGAGACTAATACTTAAGCAAGTGTTAGTAACACATAATAACAATAACCTTCTGCTAAAGTGCACTTAGGATTAACAGTTTATTCTGCTTAAGAAGATCTAGATGGCCTTAGAGAAGGAAAGTCTGCTCTTATAGCCATCTACGTATGTTAAACGGGTCATGCTCAAAGCCTATACCAATTATTCCATCTTGGAAAGACACAGCAAAAATCCAGTAAATAACATTGAAAACAAATTATCCATATTAGAGCATGACAAATAAGCACTGATTTGAAAATATGTTTTTGTATGACAAAAGATGAGTATGACTAAATTCCTGAATGTAGCTCGTCTATGACAGTTTTAGTCCCTGCTCTATTACAGACTCACTGTCTGAGTAAGTAAGTCATTTAGCTTTCCTGTATTCCAGTTTCTTTTTAGAAAAGCCTCAGACGACACCATGATGCAGTGACATGTTCAAAACTACTGAAACAGGAATTACACAAATAAGTTTGGAAACTATGCACAAGAATACTTTGCTGTAAGAAATACTTTTTCTGTTTAATAAAGACAACCTCAAATTGCTATTCTCCGTCCCCACATTTTAAAGAAGTCTGTTGTCTACAGATTAATCTGAAGCTAGTCAGGAAATGACATGGTAGCTAGCCTGTAGAAGGAAAAAATTCTGAGCAGTCTCAGGCTCTGGACTACCACTGGGAAAAAAAATGCTGTCAATGCAAGAGGTCACCAACCTCAATTGCACGTAGCTAGACCACTGCTGGAAGCTGTGATTCCTTTGGATCCGCTGAAACACAGCCCAGTTATATGTATTACCCAAGAACACCACTTACTTTCCAGGGTTTGCTGAAGCTCATGGATGGTGCTCAGCAGAACGTGAAACTGCTTTCTTCTCAGCTCCAACTGGAACGATGAAATATATAAATTTTAGGAAACAAAGAGCACATACAGCCAAACAACCTACAGCAGATTCTCCATTAATTATGTTCCTAATAGTTATATAACAATCTCTATGAAAAACCTACCTTATCTTCAACATTTTCTTTAATATGAGAAAGATGTTGAAGTTCTTTTCCCAAAGCTTCCAGCTGCCTGAAAAGAAATTGTCACAGTATTTTTAAAAAGTTCTGTAAAATTCTTGAAAAATAGATTTTAACTAAGTAGAGGAAAAAGAACCATTAAATAAACAGCAAAGGTAAACAAAGCGTAACAAATGAAATTATATTAGAGGTATGGCCACTTCACATAAATGTTTAACTACTGTCATAAACTTGTAGTTTCAGGACTTTTACAGAAAAAAAGGACCCCAAGCTGGAATACAGTTGTACATTGGGCATTTGACTCTAACGATTCAGTCCTGCCACAAACATGTTATTTACTTGATGATAAAATGAAAGTTAAAGAAGTGGGTTACATTAAACACTCATAGCATTTTCGTAGGCCTCACTACTTCACTGACTTCTTTATGTTGACATGAATAGATTAAATAAAAACATAGCATCAGCAGGGAGAACATGTTTGATAAACCTACACACCTTACAAACAAACACAATTCCCAGACACAACAATTGACAAAACACAGTCAAGTATCTTATCTCTGACAACGGCCTGACCAGACAGAGTAGTGGATAACATGTAGACTTTACATATGTAAAGGCGTATGTAGAATAATCCACATTTTTGATGAAACATGATACAACTTATGCCTCAGCACACAGAATTTAACACTGCGATCCATGTAAATACTCACTTCCTTCTCAAATGCCAGTTTTTATTTTAATTGATTGCCTCTGACATTAACATATGAAGTAATTGTGCAGCACCTGTAATCTTCATTGTTATTCATACATCATCTTTCAACGCCTCTTTGGGATCTTTCTGCAAACTTTGATTGTTTTCTGTTCTCACTTGGACTCACCATGGACCACCACCATCCTTTTTGAGGTAGGGCAAAGAGTAACAGGTACCATAATGTACGCTAGCTTTCGAATGAGGATGGAGCATCAACTCTTAAACTCAAACCTCCAGTTTGGCTCTTCTACTTTTCCTCTAATTCCTACCATAATTCATGCTCCATGTAATAAGAACAATCTGTTTCTTTAAAGGTGAAGTGGATTGAGGCTGACCATCCCTGATCAATTAGGAGGCAGAGCCATATAGGGGTCAGCAAGGGAGTAAAAGGTGTTTTTCTGAAGCACTGACAGCTGCTGGAACTAGTCTAGGCAGGGAACCACAAACGGGCCCAAGTAACTCACGATGGCTGGGAAGGAGGTCTGTTTTAGTGCTACCTGAGGGGTGTTGTCTTTTTTTTTACGCCAGGATACTTGGTACCTTGAAGGGAATGCCTGGAAGAGGGCTGGGTGTGACATTATCCTTTCCTACAATGGAAACAGGCTAACAGCTTATAGGCCTATACAATCATTTCACTAGTATTTGGTTTCTAGTTTCTGAAAGACTTCTATTTGGCCAAATCTGGCTGTTTATACTGTGCTGTCGGGTATAAGCAGACTATGAGAAGACGTGCAATTTTATTCTTGTAACATCCAAGCTACACCTGGAATTTTACTACTTTTACTTTCTGCTCCAGAGAATATTTGCCTAGCCTTCTCATTTTTGTGTCTTCTTTTCTAAGACACAGTGACATTTCTTGGTCCTCTTAACACCTCTTCTGATACTGCATCTAATTAGACTGTGGGCACTTCCATTTAGTAGTTCAGCTCCTGTCACTTCCTGAATTGGCTCCTGTGCGTTACTTCTGACTAAGCTGATAACAGCTTCTCTTCTTTTGTGCTGTATGACTAGTTGTTCCAAGAAACAGTCCCTTAAAAGCATAAAGGAAGTATTTTCCTGAACTTTGTCCTATTGTGCCGTATGACCTGCAAAAGCTATAAATGTAACTCTAGCAATAAACCATGACATTTCTCCCTCACAGTAAGTTTTCTCAAGTGTTTTTAGTGATTAGGAATTCCACGAAAAGCATGACATTGTTAGTGAGCCTTCCTCCCTTCTGATTTAAGGATGGTCCTTCTTGGTTCATAGCATGATTTTCTGATACTTTGCACAGACTGGAGAGAAAGGAAGCCTTGTAATTAAAACATTGGATGAAAACTTCCCTCTAGTTCCTACATTTAAAGTCTATTTACTCGGAGAGGTCAATTAAAGCTAAACTATGTATGAACCAAGCCCCCTTTAAAAATGTTCCATTCTGTTACTATGTCTTATTTCCCCATCTCTAAAATGAAGGATCATACTCTGCTATAGTTCAAGTCTGTGTCTTTGACTACAGATAAGGAAGAGTAAGGACAAAAGAGCATACACTGTAGCCATTCTTCCAGCAGAAGAACACCCTGGTATTTCAAACTGTAATATACTCTTCTAAAGAGATAATGAAATTAAGTTTAAGAAAAGACAAAATGCCAAATTTACTAGCTGTAACTTACCACCATTTTTAGCTTTGCTGAAGAAACTTTTATGTTTGGATATGTTAATCAAAATCAGAACAACCTCTCCAAACCTAAACAACCTGGCATCCTCTGAGAAAAAAGTATTATCATTTAGTTGTTTCCATTCTTAATCAATTGACTTGTCTGAAAAACTTCACTTTTGATAATTCTTTATTATAAAGCCTCACTTGATAAACAGCACATGCTGACTAATGAAGTAAGTAGTCAAGCCTCATGAGAATTGCCTGTAATAATCAAAGTTGTGGTAATGAAATCCAGGCACGGAAAAACAACATACAAGAAAGAAATGTGTGAAATATTCTCAGTGGTTTACAGCTATAAAAATCCTACTATTGGGGTAATAATATAATAAAAAAACCAAACCTTCCTGGCTATAAAAGGCCATGGAACGTGAAAAGATAAGACTCCCTCTGCAATTTCACTGAAAGTGGGCAACAGGATAGGTGCAAGCTGCGCTTAAATGAGAACAATAACCCCATGCTACATCTTTAATCAGGTTAAGAAGAACAAACTCATAGATGCAATGAGTTCTGGAATGTTTCTGTGGCTTGATAAAGTTAAAAAGATTGTGTCCCCACAACTGCTCAACATGACCCAAAAAGCACAGGCAAGTGATCCAAATCCAACAATGACACAAGCAATACTAGAAGTTACATGCAAGATGAGTTTGACAACAGGTAGGACTAACCTGCATGCCAGGGTAGGCTATATTGTGATACACAACGTAGTAATTTATAACCAGGCATGCAGGAACAACTACTACAAAGAAAACATTAAAAAAAACCCTAAGAGCTGTCTCCTGCTTTCTCTCATTCCACCTTACTTGTTTGTGTGTTACATGTTTTGCATGACTACTGAATCCCTTACTGGCACACTTTACAGCAGTCCCCCGCTATCTCTCTTTTCTGAGCAACTCAGCCCTGGTAAACTGACACTAGACATGCACTTACATCTGAGTTTACTTATCCATCTTAACAGTGGAAAAGTTTAAAATACAAAGCAACTAGCAATGGTTCTGAACCCATACAGATGGAGATGAATTAAAGAAAGCGGGTAAGGGCACAACAAAACCCAAGTTTTTCCTGTGTCAAAAGAAATTATGTAAAAGTGAGGAAAGGTCAAATTGAAACCAAGAAAATGTCAAATCTGGTGACTTCTATCTTACTGGTTTACTGTAATTCAATGTAGTCTCATACTTACTTCAGTGTTTCATGTCTGTCTGGATGGTGTTGTATGACTTTGGCCAGTGCATCATATTCTGAAAGAAATTTAAATAGTTAGTCTAAATAATTCTGAAAGTATAGATTCAAGAACCAAAAATCAGGTACCATAGAAAGGTACAGATTCTTCCTCCCTGAAAAACTATTTTACCATTTTTTAAATTTGTACGTAACACCTTACATATATTAAAAAGTACCTGCAAATGTACTTATTTTTATATACATATAAAAATGTATATAATTTATACCATGCTGTAACATTTCAAAGTAGACGATTACATCAAAAGAGATTTTAAATAAACTACAAATACGATTGTAGGCCATCTACTCACTCAAACTTACCCAGTGGTAGTGATTCGTAAAGGATGAGGCCAGAAAACACGACCTTTAGATAGCTCTGCATTGCTGCACACTTGGTCTTTTGTGTACGATTCATAAGCATTGGTTTTAGATACCATCTAATGTATATGTATAGAAAATGGTGCTGATAAGATGTTAGACATAAACATTTAACATTTTTAGAAAAAAAGTATGTAATACTGCATGAGAAACAACAGGATTTTTTAACTGTATTACACATTAAGAACAATATTATGGCTATAGAGGCAACTAACATAGCCATTTCCCAACAGTAAGATTGTACATATGCCAACTACCTCATTCACATGGAAAAATCTGTGCTGCAGGCTGGACAGAACATATCAAGAAGCAAATACTTCAGACCTATGTTTGTGAAGACATAGGAACTCTACATTCCTACTAGTTAAGGCTCTCTTAACTTCCAGTTGAGTCTAAAATTATCCACTAAGTTGATCAAACAGTTGTATTTAAAATCTCTAATCTGTTATACTTTAAAACATTTTCTTTTTGTATTTCATTTATTAAGAAAACAAAAATTCTTGCTTCTCTTCCATTGTTAATCTTTTGATAAGACAGTATTACAGGGAAATGCTTTAAGTTTCAATTGAAATTATCAGTGCATACTTTTAAGAGTAGGGAAAAAATACACCTCTCGTAACAGTTATTCAGTAAGGACACATACAGAGTTGCTGGGTGTGTACCTGGCACCACTGTCTCTGTGTATGCCAAGACATTACCTTCCCTTAAGAGCTGAAGGAATACACTTGCATGATCCTCAGTGCTGCGTGTAAGTCTATTCAACTCTTGCCTCGCTATTAATAATGTGCTTTAGTTCTCCTCAAGGCACCTGAATTATGATAGGATGTTTTTGGGTTTTCTCTGGCCTGAAAACATCTCTCTGAACTACTGTTTTATGTTTTCTCGATGTTGCGGGTCATTGAGTTCTACTGGTTCAGTCTTGCCTGCCACATCCACCAGAAATTTTCCGTAGTGGGTGTCGAACCCACCAGACTAAATATAGTATTCACAATGCCAGCATATTCCCTTGCACATTCAAAAATTTGGAATCTATTTTCTGATACAATATATTTTAAAAGATAGCAAAATAATGAAACCAACCAGTGTAAAAACAGCTATTGCTCCTTACCCTGGCGATTTTTTCGAATCCTTTTTGCTTGCAGGATTTGTTTTTTGCATTCAGAAATCTTCTCATGTGCTGCAGTTATACTATTTTCTTAAAAAAAAAAAAAAAATATACAGAGTTATACTGAAATCAAGCAATACATGTAAGCAAGTCATTCTGCTAAATGATAAAAAGATAAAGAGCTGTTTGTGACATGGTGGCCTGCTCACTCCATCAGCTTCAAAACTACATGCACTTCAATAGGTTAAAAAAGCTTTTATTTGTATGTATTTTATATACTGGTAAAATGCTTACAGCATATTTATGAGTTAGAAACAGAAACCAGTAATGTTTTCTCATCTTTACCTATGTCCTTATAGATTTTTTCATAATTTTCCATTTCTCTGAGGTTCATATCATACACCAGAAGAGTTTTTCCCATTGAAAATTCACACTGTGATAAAGTACTCAGCATTCGTTGGTACTGGCTGTAACTGAAAACAGACAAGATATTTATTCCTAAGCAGCATAAAAATACACCCTGCCTTTACAAAACAAAGCCTCACGTAGGGTAAGAAACAGGTAAACAACAATTATTAAAGAAATCAAATACTTCAAAGATTGAACATGTAATATTTTGAAAGCGCAGTTAGAAACACTACACCTAATAATTCTACCATCATGCCCTTAAAGGTGCAAAATGAGTATTAAAGCAACAGGCAGATCGATCCAGGGCTTACAAACTTCCCAGCTAAGGCTGGCACTATGACGACTGAGATTAGTATTTTAACACTGCAGTGCTTCTCTGGACGCACAATCGCTATGTTGTGTCCTCCGTGAATTTATAGCCAGTACTGGTGCAGACCCCACAGTAGAACACCACATTATCACTCATCCCTCGCTACTTTAGCCTGTTTAAATAACTAAAAAAAATAGAACTGCAGCACCAGAAATACCAGCAGTACTACCCTTCCCTAACAGAACAAATGCAGAACTGCCAACTAACTGCCAAATATTCAAGTTGTGATTCTGCTATAATAGCGGGACTCTGGGACGGATCAGGCAAGCGGCAGGACAATCCTGAGGGCATTCCAGCGGTGCTGGCAGATTTCATGATACAGCCTTCAGTCATTTCTGACCCGTCTCTAGTCCTCATCTCCTACCACAGCGCTCAGCGTTTGTACTGGAAACACTGTCACAGAGCCATGCTGAAAAGCAGATGTATACATTTTAACATGGATCTTTCCAAAATGGATCAAGCCCAGTTTTCCACTGAAACGCGAGCTAGTCAGTTCCAAGCCCTAAAAAAAAAACCCCCAAAAAACAGAAAACAAATACCCTTCCTCTTGAGATCCGGAATTACACCACTTAATGAAACTCTTCACCAACAAATTGATCCGCCTGTCATCACCAGCACCATCGCCATCGATTGCGAATACCTTCATCTGAAGAAAACCTCCCGTTTAACGCCTCACGTTATGGCAGCCGCATCCCCGAGCCGAGCGCGGGTTTCACCCCGGACCTCCAGGGAACGGTTCCCGGGGCTACACCGGGAGCCTCTGTTAAAGGGAGGGCGGCGGCGGGCCCCGGCCCGGAGCGTGGGGCTGAGGGACCCTGGGGCCGGGGCGGAGAGGCCTGG